GAAAACATGCATGTTTATCTTTGTAAACATGCATGTTTATCTTTGTGACCCCAGCAGTGCTAGGACTGTTAAGGCTGCAGTTTTGACAGTTAAGATTACTTCTGGGTGTGTTTTCTTATGCTTTGTCTGAACTACAGAAATACTGTGCTGAGGAGTGAACAACTAGGGAAATCATTTTTGAACCAGTAAGCATTAATAAGGCTTTTAAGCATCCAAGAAGTAAGCACAGTAAATCTCATAATATTATATTGAGGGAGGAGTGTACGTTTTTGATTTTTAGTTGTGTGAATTACTTCTGAGGAAGCTGTTTGGTCATCCCTACCAACAAGAAAGCAGTGTTGCTTATTACCACATGGCGGTCAGAGTTCTTTAAGTATTTGTGACAAAGAATATACATAAGTAAGAATTAATCTTAGTTGTAGTAGTTCTACAATAATTTGACTTCAGAATGAGACACAACAAACCTGTTTCAGTCTTGGGTTTCCTTCTAACAGCTTCCTGGGATTTAAAACTTGACGATCTGCTTTTAGACATTATCTGTACCTTGTGTTAATAACAGTGTCTGTGTACAAGCTCTCTAGCTCTAGAAGCTCTTTCTCTTCAATGTGCATAACCTGCTTTGTTCACATTTATACAGAATTCAGCCCTTGGCTTGTTGCAGCTGCCTTTGGCCACTGCCCATTTGTTCATTCATACACATTCTGTATATGTACAAGAGGATAGCGAGTGCTAGTGGTATCTTGTCAGGAAAGCTGGTTAGAGACCGAAAGGCTCTGCTGTGCTACAGGCTGCAGCTCTCTGTGGCAGTGGAGAACTTTAATTTACAGGATCCCCATCCCTGCAATAGAGGATGATTACAAAGAAATCTATGGTGTACCGGCTGTGAAGTTCTCTGACCCAGTTAGGGTTGACTTTGGACTGATTTGTTGCTTTGCATCTGAAATTGTCAAATTAAGTACTTGCAATTATGTAGTAGCTTTGAGAAGTAAATCAGAAATAGAAAAAAAAATAAACGAGGATTAGTGAAATGCACTTCTTGGGTACTTGGTCGTTTCAATGCTTCTCCTGGCTACATCTCCTCCACACAAAGGTCAACCTGTAAAGCACCTGGGGCTTGTGTAAAGTTAAAACTGAGGCGTTGTTGGCCCAGCTAGCTCTAGCACGTCTTGAGAGCAGCCTGCTGCTTCAGTGTCCTTTTTAAGAGTGCCCAGTGATACCTGGAGAGGTTTATTTTATCTGTACAAAGTGTTTTACATAGGTAAATATATATGTATATATGATTCAGGTTGCATATTTCTCGGTTTAAAAGCAATGCGCATTTAAATTATGCCTTCACAGCAAGTCTCTGTGATTATCCAGGTTGCATAGATTTTTCTGTACTTTCCTTACAGCCTTCATTAATGACTTTTTTGTAGTGTCTTTAATTGTTAGGTGTTGAATGAAGAGTTTAGATTGTTCTAATTTCTGAAAAATGCAGTGGTATTTTAGTATGTACCAAGCGCCAAAAATCCTAAGTTCCTTAGCTGTTCTTACCCAAACTAGTCATGTGTTTCTTCTTGCTTTGCATTAGGAAAGAAAGAAGAGTGTGGAGGGGGAGTGAGCAGCAGAGCACAAATAACTTTCATACTATTTCTGTGATGAAGATAAGACATGTTTTCTTCTGTGGGTAGCTGATTTGACAATAATGTCCTATTTCCAAGTTCTGTTGCAGCCCTTGCTTGCTTCTGGTCAGCCTGACAAAGAAAACAATGCACCCAGGCAGGATATAGGTTCTGTAAGATTATATATTTTGTCTATTATGTTGGTTTATCCTGTTGTCCAAATTTTAAGAATTTCCTATGACATGTACTGCTGATAAACTTGTGTCTGAGTTTGAGATATTCTGATGAGTTCTTAATGCTTTAAAAGGTAGACTTTTAGTCCAGATTTTGAATCTTAAGTGTTTTCAACTTTGTTCAAAATAGAGCCTGAAATTGCACCTCTCCTTTTCTTATGACTAATGCTAAGGATGGGATCCACGTAGGTCAGTGTTTCTCAGACTTAATGAGTGAGTAAATGGAATCTCCTGTTTGACTCAGCTGTTAGGTGGCAATTTATTTTGCTACTGTCTCCTTTTCCAGCTGCAACTTAAAGTTGGTCCTGAGGAGACATGTTGAGTCTTGCAAGTTGTGGCTTCATTTTTGGGGGATAGGAGAGCGGGGCCTGACTCTACCCAAGCAGCTGCTTGCTTACTGCAGGCAAACTCACAACAACTGCTAGTGCTGTCCAGGAAACTGCTTGGTGTAAAACTGTGGCCACTGGTTAGAGCTGACTTTTCACTCATCCACCGGATGTGGATGAAGCAGTTGCATCCTTATTTGAAAGGGTTTGGGTTAAAATAAATTCTTATTTTAGGGTTTGGCCAAACACGAATTTCTGAGAACACGGTGAACTAGTCTCACCTCCAGTACCATAATACTGAAGTATTTTGCCTTCCTATTGAGCCTAGTAATTTGTTGGTTTCTAACATACTTTTGAAACACTAAAGTACATGCATTAAGAACTTCTAATTTTTTCGAAGTGTATCTGTGTGATTTATTCTAATGGCTCAAGAAAATACCGCATTTCTGATTTGAGTCCACTGAAGAATCACTTATTTGAACCGGAGGCCTCTGTATCACAAACCTGAAAGTCCAGTAAAATCTGGTAGAGAGTCAGTGTGTTCAGTGGAGCTCCCTGTGCTTCCATTTGCCTTGAGCCCTTTTGCAGAGACTTTTCTTTAAATGGGGCAGGGTGCCAGTCACTCCAGCTTTGCTAATTAATTTTACCTTTGGATCAAGCACTAGGAAAATGCAATAACATCAGTGTTAGTGACATACCTGTAAAAGCTTTAATAATGCCTATGTTTGAGTGGCAGTTAAGAGCTCGCTGTTCACATCTGTCAGTTAGGCAGCTCCTAGTCCATTTAGTATTGCTTATTAATCCTGCGTGGTGCTAATTTTAACAAAAAAGTTTGCTTTGTCAAATGCCACTGGAAGGGGATACATTTAAGAGTTCTCAGATTATTTTGTAATGCAGCTTTCCAAACAGCTACTTAAGAATATTTTTTTTCCATAAAAGTGGACTTAACAAGTACTTACTGACATAAATTGCATTATGACAATTAATTGTTAAGTTAATTGTTAATCTAAATTACCTTTAATAACCTGATTAGCCCTGGAACTATTTGGGAGGAGAGGCTCAGTCATCAGAGATAGAGGTGGTCAGAAACTCCATGAAGACTTTTATTTTTAAATAAGAAAAAAACCTTTTTAATTTTTTTTTTAAAGTTTTTGCATATGCATTTCAACCGAACTGTGTTCAAGACTGAAACCTTCTGCTTTGTGAGCAAACAGTTTCTTGATCAGTTTAAGCAGATCATGCCCATGATCGTGGCCCCTGGGCGGGCTCCTGGGGCTGTGCATAGAGTCAGATTTGGCGGGTGACCAGGGTGACAGGCAGCTCGTTTCCTCATTGGGATCGGTGTCCAGTTTAATAGATGAACCAGGAAGGTTCTCTGACCTTTCAGAGCTGAGCAGTGACCGCCCAAATGTTCACATTGATACAGGAGGGCAGACAGGGAAGGTCTCGGTAACTTGGTTCCCCTGGAGAATGGTGTTAAGTTGGTTAATGTCATTTGTGAGTTACATTCTGAGCATTAAAGGGCATCAGTATAGTGATTTATTCTGTAATAATTAAAGTTTTAATTCCCTTGTAGGTTCGATAAAACATGTTGAGAAGCCAATCAAGTGCATAAAGAACCACCTTAAAAATGAGATCTGGGACTTGAGGAAGGCACCATTTACTTCCCCAAGCTGAACTGGAGCATTTATTACAGTAACAGTCTCTATATATTCTTTTCCAGGCCAAGAAGCACCAGCACTTTCCAGAGCCTTTCCCAGTACACTGTTAATGTCTTGCTTTCATTGCAGGGCTTTCGGCTCCATTTCTCTGGTAGTAGGTCCCCTAGTCTAATCATACCCTGGAGCTCTCTGTTCTCTCAAGAGAAAGAAGCGAAAATGTCACCCAAAAAAGTAAGAGGAAGTAGGTGGGGCTACCAACAAAGTCTGCGTGCCTAAAAATGTAAACAAAACACAAGTGGAATGATTTGCCTTGTATGAAGTTTTTGTTGCATAGCCAAGTACATTCTGAGATATCTCATGAGTCTTGTGGTCTTTATTTTGTGTGTGTGTGTGTTAGGAACTCGATAAAGAGCTTCCAGTGTTAAAACCTTACTTCGTTCAGAAGCCAGAGCTGGCTGGGAAGACGGGGACGGGGATGCGCGTGACGTGGCTGGGCCATGCCTCGCTCATGGTGGAGATGGATGAACTCATCTTCCTCACCGACCCCATCTTCAGCCAGCGGGCGTCCCCCACGCAGCTGGTGGGCCCCAAGCGCTTCCGCGGGCCCCCGTGCACGGTGGAGCAGCTGCCCAAAATCGATGCCGTCGTCATCAGCCACACGCACTACGACCACCTGGACCACGGCAGCGTGGTGAGCTTGAACGCGCGCTTCGGCAGCGAGCTGCGCTGGTTCGTGCCCCTGGGGCTGCTGGGCTGGATGCAGCGCTGCGGCTGCGAGAACGTCATCGAGCTGGACTGGTGGGAGGAGAACTGCGTCCCCGGGCGCGATGCCGTCACTTTTGTCTTCACCCCCTCGCAGCACTGGTGCAAACGGACTGCAACGGATGACAACAAGGTGCTTTGGGGCAGCTGGTCTGTCCTGGGACCGTGGAATAGGTTTTTCTTCTCAGGAGATACTGGCTACTGTGTTGCTTTTGAACAGATAGGGAAAAGGTTTGGACCTTTTGATCTTGCAGCCATCCCCATTGGAGCCTATGAGCCAAGGTATGGAAAAAAACTCTTAAGTTTGATCAAAAGATATAAATAAAATGATAAAGTGATGGCAGAAAAGAACAGACAGAAGTGAAAAACTGTATCTTAAAGTTTTACAGTGGAATTTAATATTTTATAGTGGAAATGAAAAAGTGCTGAATGGAGAAAGGCAAGTAGTTGAAATATGTAGGGTATTTGCCTATCTGTGTGGTGTGATGTGGTTTTGCATGTGTGTTTTTTTTTCTCTTAAATGTAGCAGGGATGAATCAGTAGACTTCCATGAAACAAACAAACAAAAAAAGAATCTAGATAAACATAATTTGGTGCCTTTTCTCTTGCTTCATTCCTCAGGCTGCCCTTGCAATTTTTGCAATTTATCTGGAGATAAGAGATGAATCCCTTATAGGGAGTTAAAGATCTGTTTGCTTGGCATCTGTATTCTGCTTATCATGGACTATCTAGGTTTTTGGATGATAACAGCTCTGCCATGGTGGAAACTCAGCAGTAATAGGCTGGGAAAGCAAAATGGGAATCACAACCTTGTGATAAAAATGCAGCATTTCTCAAGAATTGCAAAGTTTTTTGTTGTTGTTATTGTTTTTTACCTCTGCTTTACCACTGTTTACTTAGGCAATCTTCTGAAACACACACATTTTCATATACACTGCTAGCACAAAATGATTTCTGAGATGGATTTAAATCTACAGCCTTAATTCTTCAAGGCACTAAGTATTATGTTCTTGTACTATTAAAAATACAGCATGGCAGCTCACTTATTTCACTCCTCTGGTGAAAAAAGGTGTTTACTTATCAGTATGTTGATGTTTTCTAGCTTTCTTTGGTTCTGTGTGTTGTCCAAATATGTGTACTCCACAGTATTTTAGGTGAGCGTATTTTTAGACCCCTTGCTGCTAAGCAGTGAAATGAAGTGCAAGGTTTCTTCTTTCTTTAGATAACACTTAAAACTTGCCTTGTGTTTTGGTAGGTGGTTTATGAAATATCAACACGTGGATCCTGAAGAAGCGGTGAGAATCCATATTGATGTTCAAGCAAAGAAGTCTGTAGCAATTCACTGGGGAACTTTTGCTTTAGCAAATGAGGTGAGTTTGAATGGTAGGTTTGAATTCACATTTCCCAAGTGCACAGTCATGTTCCCAGCCTCTTTTCTTCTTAAAACAAATATACAGAGCATGTCCAAGGTCAGGATTGATTTCATAGTACTTATCTGGAGTCGTAGTGTTCTGTAACTTTAACAAATCTGGAGGTTGTAGGGTTCTGTAATTTTAGGAAAATAAGGGTGCCTTAAGAGTGACTAAAAATGTGATGGAAGGGGAATATCTGTATCTACTTTCAAATATTTTGTCTGGTAGCTGTTTTTTTTCTCTCTTTTTTTTTGACTTTTTAAAAACTATTGGTTATACTTTATGCCTTAACTCAGTTCTTAGGCTGTTAGCTGTGTTCACTTGTTGTGTTGTATTTTCTTTTAACTTAGGTGCAGCATTTTCCATGCAGGATGCTTTTAAGCTATGTCACTAGCACCTAAGATGGACCTATATTTATCAGCTCACAAAACCCTTAGATGAATACTATGATATTGCCCAAGGGCCCTTCCAACCATACTCATTCTGTGATTCTGTGTGTGTGATACGATGCCTATTCTAAAATTTAACTGATATAAATTTCAAATGTAACAAATATAATAAAGTGACATCAGAGCGATAATATTGAAATGGTACTACTTTTTCAAACAATCAGACCTAGCGAGTTTGTTATAAAATAAGGGGGAAATTAAAGCTTTTTAGTCACAGATCTTGTGATTTCATCACGCTTTAAGAATGAAAAAAAGCGCCACCTACTGCTCTGTCAACACTTTTCTTCCTGGAAGACAACTCTTCCAGGAATAAGTAATGGCCATGCTTCCCTTTGTAAGGGATCAAATTAAATACACCGAATAAGTCTTTTTTTTTTCTTTTTTTTTTTAAACCAAACATTTCTATTCACTTTGACAAGTATATTCCCCTTTCTTGATAAATATATTTAAAACACAGACCAGATCATACAGAGTTTTTTGTTAGTTTATTTTTCCAAATGCTGCGGTGGTGTCTTTTTCCTCATATCATTCTTATCTTTTCAGTATTACTTGGATCCTCCAGTTAAACTGAATGAAGCTCTAGAAAGATATGGCTTGAAAAAAGAAGACTTCTTTGTCTTAAACCACGGAGAATCACGAGACTTAAGTACAAATGATGACGGGTTTGAATAATGAAACACTAGCAATTCCTTATAAGCTTCCTTTGATTTGAACTAGGAACTGATACCACAAATGTTAATTTAATGTACTTACAATGTAGATTTTTGAATGGATTGGATTTTTAGATTCTAGGTTTGTTGGTTTCATAATTAAAACTTGCATAGCGATTTCATGATAAATTTTCCTACTTAAATTGTTTATAAATTACGAGCTGATCTAAACACTGGTTAATGCATAAGGTATTGTCTAGGAATAACTCTTTCAACTCTTATGTGTTTCACTGATAAATACTGTTCTTTTAAACACTTTTATTTCCAGCTTATCTGTAACAGCAATAATAACCTCAGAGCAGGACATGTTCTTAGAATTAATGGCTGACTTAAATTAATCATCTTCAAAATGTCCTCTCCCACTTGTTGGTCATTAATCTTCAAGTTATGCCCTGTACCTTGACAGCTTCCATGTATGTTTTGTGGGGAAAAGTCTTCCAGTAAAGCACAAGAACAGTAAAATAATGATTTTACTGACTGCTTCTCCATTTCATTTATTGAGAACCACAAAGCTGAATTTTAAAATGACCTAAAGAAATGTGCCTTTTAAAGAGAGAGATTACTTCATATTGCATCATTAATGCATAAAACCTCCTGCTGGCCAGAGTGTCTGCATTCTTTTGCTATTTTGTCAGTATTTTTAAGTTAGGCCTTAATGTGTCTGAAATAATTTTCTTGTCAAATGCAGTACATGGAAATGGAAAAAGCCCTCCCTAATGATGCTTGTATCTGTGTTGACTCAGCCTATTATTGTTCTCTCTCTTTTTTTTTTTAAGTGAGAACTCTTAGCCAGAGGGCTGTGATTTTTTTCGTTGTTTTTAGTTTCCCTGTGATTTTATGGAGTCGAATGAGAGATTAAAAAATTGTTCAGTGAGACTGGGCTAAATGTATCTGTATCAAATTGCCATACTAATTACAAAATTAAAGCCTGTTGCTGCCAAAAATGGTTCTTCTTCATAATTCATTTGTAAATAAATAATTTTAAGATCTTTTTGTTCATGCTCTGTTATGGCCTACTGGGTATGTATTTCTTTTTTTTGCTCTTGTTGTGCATTATATTTTACATTTATAGTCTATGCCCATAGATTTAAAAAAAAGAACTAAACCGGAACATAACTGATTAAATAGCAACCTAGCAGAGAGGTACTGAGTTGTAAGAATCAGAGCCCTGAATATTAGTTAACACTGGGACATGTTTTGTTTGAGATGTATTAATTCACAACATTTTTACGTAGAATGGTCACCGTTACCTTTGGTTGTCCCTGAGAAGATTACATCAGGATAGGGAGTAGAGGATAAGAAGGGACTGCAGAGTCTTGTGTTATTTCTAAATTTGTCCAATAGTAGCCTTCTGCGAAGAAAGATTTAAAATTTAGCTTTTTTTAGACTAGAAGGACCATGGTAACGTTAAAAGTATCTATTTTAGGTAGAGGACAACTGTGAATTGTTTCCTACCCCCTCCCTTTGGTAGCTAATCAACTTTAAATATCAAAAAGAACATGTAGGATGTTAGAAAATAAGATTCTTTAGGCTGGAGAAAATGAAGGACACCTAGAAAAGACCTCCCACGGCAGATAATCTTTGGTGCACAACAGGTTCATTAAAGACTATATTTTTAAAACATGTATGCTTTCTTTCAGAAGTATCACTTCAAGGGAGTTAAAATCCATTTCAGTTTTTGCTCAAATTTTTGCATGTGGTATGGTTAACTGCAACTGCAGTTTGCTAAAAGGAGCTGCATTAAACACGAGAGTGTAAATTTAGAGTATATTCTGTGCAGTTACACAGAGGCTAGATAATTTGAATATGCAGTTTTCACTGGAAAGATTTTGCAGAAAGTCAGCAATAGTCTGACATTGTTTTTGTTTAAGATTTTTTCTAAGATTTTCCTGCACACAGAATTAGTAGGTAGCTGATTAATAAAACGTGAATACCCAATTGCTTCCATAAATATGTTTATTCAAAAGCTGCAAGTATATACAGAAATAAGATTTTTTTTATAAGATGGACAGAGTATTTGGACTTTTTGATCCACTTGAAGATACACCAGCCCTCTAGTTTTCTGTTTTAAACCATCTCCCCCCATTTGTCAATGAGTACCAGCTCTGTAGTGCTTTGTTAGTGCTAAGTTAGCTACTGTGTTTTATCTTGCTCAGAAATCTCTTACGCTCTATTACATATATTGCATTCTCTCTCACAATAGCTGGTTTACACCAGAGGGTAGTTTTCCAAAAAAGTGTTTTATTTTCTTGTAGGAAAGCACTCAAGATAAGTATTTAATCAGATCACTGTTTTTTAATGACTACTGTGTTAATATTCTGACAACCTGCTCCTTCACTTCTCTATCAGGGTGATGCAATAAAGATGCCAATTTCTGAGCAAAGGGAGCAGAAGTCCCACAGAGGGTAGCGAAAACTGAATCTTTGCTGGCCTGGCTCTGAAGCTCGGTGCCATCTTCAGGGCTCACAGTCCTCTTCAAATTTGCTGCAAACGTGAGGGCTCGGAGAAGAACGTCCCTGTTCATGCAGTTGTCAAAAAGTGACAGCAGTGACGGCGCCTGGGATATTCAGTAAATAGTCCACATTTAATCATTAGTATTAACTACATTTGTTAATTAGGTCTCCTCACCTTTAAAAATGGAAATAAATCTGCACCTAAAACAGAAACCTCATAAATACCAGAACTCCATATGTTGAGCAAGCAGGGCAGAAGCTTGCACAGTGTGCACGTTTCCTCGTTGCAGAAAGACTAGCTTGAGCATTACAGCCTGATAAGTGCTTTGTACTTCGAATCTCCAAAACCTGGCTGTCTGGAAAATTCCCTTTGGAAGAGAGTCCGCTTTCCTCCTAAATAATGTTTTTTTCCCCCCTCTATGGTGATCTGAGTATTTGTGCATTAATAGGTTTGGGTGTCTGGTAGACCAGAAAAGGATCCACTACTGACACGGTAGAGAACTGAACATTTACCTATTACAATCTTCTTCTAGACTTTAAATAATGAAAAGTGGGTAGCATACAGATTAGCTCAGCCCCTTGGAGACAGCTCAAAAATTAAATTTTCATTTTTTTAAATCAGCCACAGACTATTTTAAGAACCTTTGTGTGGGAGGGGAGCAGCAGCATCCTAGCACCTTACTTCTGTTTTGATATGACAAAAATTGAAATAAAGCTGCAAATTAGCAAAACCTGTGGTAGCTAATGTTAGATAAAGTTCTGCATGAAGACATAAGAAAAGGCAATATAAAGACATAGAGAAAGGCAATTTAAAGTAGGTATATATGATATATATAGCAAGACCCTTACTTGAGCTTGGAGAATGTGTCTTGTCATGGTTGGGTTTGCAGAGAGGTTCACAAGTACTTTCAGAGCTTGGATCTGAAATGAGAAACATAAGTTACTACAAACTCCAAAATCAAAATATGCAAGAGAATTACTGCTCCATTATCTTTTTTCTCATACACTTTGTAGGAAAGGCTCATGGAAAACATAATCTGCTTTTGTTAAAGCGGGAACAATTTGGCTTTCTCATGATTTTAGCTTTCATGCGTTTACAGCAGCAAATTAAATGACTCAACTTACTTTGTAGTCCAGACTTGTACAAATTGTGAATACAGTATAATATTAATATTTTCTTAGCATTTTAAGAGCACAAGGTGAGACATTGAAGGAAGGTGCTTGTTGAAAAATACTCAGACAAGGAACAAGATTAAAACCAAAAAAACACCACCCCATAGACTTCTTAAATTTTAAGAAATGTAACTTATTTTTTTTGTTACACTCATAGAGGGATCTTACTTGATGAAATTTTTTTTGGAAAAAAATACCCTCTCCTCCTGAATTTACACAGAAAAAGCAATATATATCCCTATTTTAAGAATTCTGCACACCATCCACTATCTGTTAATGAATAATTAACTTCCTAAACATGATGCTAACCATTTTAGAAAAATGGTATAAAGGAGGCAAGTAAAGCAACTTGCTAAATGTTTTTTCACAACACCTGTGTCCTTTCGTTTCCTTCTGAAAGCACGTGAAGGAAGCATGGAATTGAGTTTATCATCATATGGTGGTAGTCACTGGTAACAGACATATTTGTCAGCAGTCTGAGTCCAGCTAGCTGCAGATCAGAGTTCAGGGAAGCTGACTCAATGTCCTTACACACTTGCACAATATAAACCTGGGGGAAAAAAAATAGAAGGAAGGACATTTTTGGATATAAGTTGAACTCGTATTCACAGTATCAGTATTCACAGTACAGTACAGTATTCACAGATAGTATCAACTATCTTAGCCACAGTAACCTAATAATCTGTTGCATACTGTTGGTTAAAGCCATAACCTGACCAAGGCAGTCAGAAATGAGCATTTCTTTTTTAATACACAAATATTCTGCTGGCATAATAGGGACACACATTAGTGAGTCTTGCTCACTAACCTTCCTCGAGCATAAGTTGCCCTGGAACCACAGATTGCTTTGACCCCATTCCAGACGTAGAACATTTTTTCTAAGAACTTTGTCAAAAATCACTTACAGCCACTAATCTCGTTTTAGATGTTGAGAACAGACTAAAGATAAATCTTACAATTAAATCCTTTCTTCCAAGCATTTGGCCTATTCACTAATCAGAAATAATGATGACAACTGACAACCAAAAAGTATGATTTACCCAATTTTCTTCTGGGTGACAGTATATAACATCTTCAAGCCCTGAGTAGGAAGATTTTTTTCCCCGAGGGAGTCGTGCTTAGTTCAGCCTGCCAGTCATGTCAGTAAACAACCTTTGCTGACGTCCCTGGCATATGTAGGAATATGTCTTGCTTCACGGTCTCTTAACAGCACAATTTCTGTTTATAGCACTGGGCAAAAGCTAAACACAGACTGCGTAGCTTCCTAAGAGTCTTTTATTTTTTTTAAAAAAGTAGCCATTAGTGATGCAGGGCATTTTGAAGCTATTCCTTTGGGCTTTGGAATGCACAGATGACCTAGATGTGCTGACTCATAAGTATTTTAATCTCAAAACATGTTATTTTCCCTCGTAGTTAGCAACTACACTTTTAAAAAATATATATTATTATTTTCTATATCCACATTACTTTGATTCTCACCTTTTTAGGAAACTTACCTGTATCTCTTTCTGATTTTTAATGTTCATACTCAAATTATTAAGAGCATTTAGTGCTTTTTCTTTGACCCTGGGAATGCAGTCTGAGAGCATTCTTCCAATAATAGAAATGCCATCCAAATTTCGAATTCTATCCTGAAATATAAAAAGATATTAAACAAGATTACTGTGAATTTAGAATTTATTTGAAGAAAGCCTTCAGCATTTAAGTTTCTATTTCAACACAAATGGAACATCTGAATGAAGACTTCTGGAAAAGACTAGGTCTATTTAAAGTGGAAGTGTTGGATTTTTTTTTTTACATTATCATTCCATACAAAAATAAAATACGCATACTATTTATTTTTTTTTAATTTTAAAACTGACATCAGCTTAAATATCAAACCACATTTGAAAAACATTTTCATCTAATAAAGACATCAATGGCATATATTCTTCTGACGAGTTGCTCATGAAATTACGAAATTTTGAAGAGCTCACAAAATAAGACAGGTCCTAAAAGAGGTAAAATAGTATCTGTTATCTTTTGCTTGTGCCAAATTGCAGGATTTGATAAAGCCTGTTAATTCTTTGAAAATGTGCAATCACTAAGCTACCCTTTGGCTTTGCATATATTACTTGCATTGAAATTAAGTATGGTTCTGCTTGCAGCTAAATTATATGCCATTATTTGACAATGGCAATAAAAAAATCCTGAAAGCTTCAAGTACTTAACCCTTTTTCAATTTCAGCCCTTTAACTGACATTATGCTGCTTGAGCAATGAAAGATGTAAACATATTGATAGTGTTTTTACAAGATAGTACTCTGTGCAAACATTGAGCTGCACACGTTTAATCTATACAAACATTTAGTTTACAGAAGTCCTTTAATGCAGGTAGGTTATATTATTTGGACTAACAGGAAACTGTGGCAGAGACATAAAATGGATGTCAAAACACAAGACATCAGTGCCCTCTCTCTTGTGTTACTGTTATGAAGAACAGCACTTCTCATTTTGCAAACTGCCGCCGAAGCTCTGTTTTTTGCTATAAAGCATTACTCACATGATTTACAGAGAAGGCAGCCCTGTTGCTGAGGGTGATTAAAGCTTGCTCTTGAATTAACGGGTCATCTGTGGACTGCAGCAGGTGAAGAAGTTTCTGCAGATCATCTGCATCCACGGCATGGGGCGATTCTGAAGGATGGTTCTCTGTCAATGTTAAAAAAATAAAACACTTGACATCGCATTTGAGGCATTTCCCATAGTTACTGCTTAATGTATTTCACAATGCTGAGCTTCAGCTCCCAGTTGTAGGCCACGGTTTTCTAAGTTTTCCTGCATCCAACATGATTTCCATTATGTTGTGGCCAAAAGATTCGGTTTACCCAACAAGTGGAATTTTGGTCCCTTCCTGAGCCTCATTTTAAAGCACAAAATGCAAGGATGGCATCGTAACAACTCGGGATATGCTATTCCTTGCAGCAGCGTTAACTTCCTTCCAAAATCATTAGCGATATTTACCAAAGTCCTGCAGTTTTCCTGCAGTGAAATGTGGGAATCTGCCTAGCCACTATAGAAAAAAAAAAAAAAAAAAAAAAAACTG